CGACTCAGACAGGTCAATCCCAACCCGAGTTTCAGGTCTGGGAACTTTCCTCTCTACTAACAGCATGTCCAGGCCCCGGTTTCAAAACAAAAAAGGTTCCCAGGTTAACAACTCAATTACCAAGGTTACATGGTCACATCTTATCCTATCATCAGCAGTGTAACAGCACTATCATGATAATCCTAGTCAACTAAGTCAGAGATCTGACTTTTTTTTTTTTTTTTTTGTGAAACTGGGGCCAGGATCTCTATATATCAGGGTAGACTTTCTCCAAGTGATGCAACTTTCAACAGAGAACAAGGGAAAATCTTCTTGTGTAAGGCATATTCACATCATTCTTCATAATTAAATATTTTGCCTTCATTTACAGTTAAAATTATTTAAAACTTCCTCTAACTAAATGTCTTTTAAGATATTGAAATGAGAGTGGAGATGTCCTTCATTTTAGCTGTTATTGGAAGAAACTCTTAATGTAACTTTTAAGGGCATAGCACATCTGATGAAATATGTTTGCTGGACTCTATAACAACACTGTCTAAGTGTCTAAACCTTACTAGTACTTTCAACATAATATCACAATGACTCCGACAACAAGAATGCATTACCTGTGCCCAAACCTATAATGCAGGGCTGCCAAATTGAGAGCAGCATATCTAAACCGCTTGTTGCACTCATCCAATTTCTCATCCTTGCTTGCTGCACTGGTCAGCACTGAGGCCAAAGCGTGACGGTCAAAGTAGTGATATAGGCTATGTATAGCACCACAATATTCATCAACTCGTAGATTGTTCAGGTAGCTGAGAAAGTGCTGATAAAAGTGAAATTTTCAAAGCAGAATATGAAATATCAGTGACACAATAATATTTAACTTTTAAAAAGTTTGATCTCAGCTTTAACATCAATTATTCATTAGTATCAGTACAATGTAATATAGTCTTTGTTTTACCTTAAAATGTCTTTAATTCTAAATTATTCTGGAACATCATGAAAATATCCTTTTCTATGATTCTAAACTCCTTGGTGACATGGAAAATATTGATAAATTCTAAATTTTTCAGGTATACTTACTGCCTCTGCCAAATGTGGCATGCTCCTCAGTAATTGTGAGACTGTTGACTGTAGTTTAGGAGGAGGCAGTGCCTCTGTAGCATTGTGATGTAACAAGTTCACCTGGTATACAAAACATTAGTGTATACATGTGTGAAAGTTGTAAAAACTCCAAGTTCTGAAAACCTACCATGCAATTTCTCATTGCAGTTATTATAAATTTTTCATAAAAAAAAAAATGAAGACTGAAAATCGTGAAGCCAGGCAAAATTCTGAAAACTTACACCCATGCACTGCAGGGTTATACAGTCCAGTGGAGTAGAGTGTTTGGTATTCATAACTCGGAAAAAACATCCAAATATTTCATCAAGTAATTTTACAGCTGATTCGGAGTAAAAAGTGGTTATTTATTATCTACTTGGTGAAGAAAAACAATCCCTTGGTTTTAACATAAATTGTCCAGCAAGACCTCAATAATTTAAACCTCTACAGTTAAAAAACCTTTTTCCACAATTCAAACAATTCTTTCAAACATACATATAAAAACATGTGTACATAGATGTCAGTAGTTTTGATTACTGATCATTTTTTCATGCAGTGCAATAAATATGTGAAATTTTTGTCAGTGTAAAAGTTATAAAAAATCAAAATTAAACAGGTTTTTAGATGCAAATCTTCATAATTTTGGATTTAATTTTTAAAAATATTATTATAAATAATAATACTATTACTGCACATTAACATTCAAATACTCAACCAGTGAAAATTAAAGTAAAACAATTAATCAATGAATCAAAAGGTGAAATGTTTTAATATTAATAAATTAAAGTAACCTGTTGAGAAATAAAGTACTCTGCCTGTCTCTGTGAATAGGTATTGCAACCAAGTATTCCACCATCACTGAAATTGAAGCGTGCAGCAATTAGTTACTTACAATGGCACAGCACCACTTCTAACTTCATAGTGTCAAAAAGCAAGAAGAGCTTAAACTGAAGATTTGAGAATGACCAATTTAAAAATTACATAAAACAACCCCACCTGAAGATGTATATTCAATACTCTACAATTACAGTATTTTGTATTATTATATTATTGATATACAGTGAGTATTGACTGTCAAATTTCTCACCTTTCATAAACCTGTGCCTGCTGTTTATGTGATGCCTCCAGTCCCAGTTCTAAAGGCACATCTCCATTCTCCTGGTCCTTGTTATATGCCCTGAAGTATCTCCTGTAACTTTGGCACAGTTTGGTCACCATATTAAAGGAAAGTTTGTCAAATGCCAGTCCCATTCTTCTGATAAATAACCCTACAATTATAAAAAAAAGACTCTAAAATTGAAGTGGACCTTAAAAAGAAATCATGAATTCAAAATGCAGGTGTCAAAGGCACACAAATTTATAAGGGGTTCAGGGGAAAAAAATACAGCAAATATCCAAATTTCCAGTAAATCCAGAACTCTTTCTTCTCTTTGTACCACAAAATCCCACCTGTATCTAGTGGCATAAAATAATAACATAACCGAATGGGGAAAACCAATTTCAACAGTAAACTCTACCATATTACAACAGCGCTTCTTGTAGCTTATATTTAAGTCTGAGAATGCAGTGAGAAATGCTATGTTTATACTTACTGAACATTTACCCATTTTTTCCTTTGCCTGTGTTCTATATTCCAAGTGCTTAGCAAGGAGACAGCAGGTACCATTTTTATGACAGCCTTTGATATGGTCAAGTCATGGGAAAAGTACCCACAACTTCCTGCAATGGAAGAATTCTACCAGAAGCACCATCTTAACTTACCAATGACACTACTTTTGCTGACCAAAAACTTTCCAGGTTGATCTTCTGATTCTTCGAACATCTCACTCAGAGCTTTGAAATAATCCATCAAAGCCATTATCCCATTAGTTGCTAAATATTCAAGCCTAAAACAGAAAGAATGGGGAACTAAATTAATAATTCCCATTTCAAATAATAGCATGTTGCTAATGGTCTAAAAATCTGACATTTCTATCCTTAAAGTTTAATAAAAGAGGCACAACACTTAATATTTTTAACTTTTGATTTAACTGAACTAATGACTAAAATTATTTGCTCTAAAAGTTGAGATCTGCATGATACCTATCTCAAAAATTAGTTATTCAAAACTTTACATACATAAATTGAAACTTAAACCTATATCTTCAAGGCTTTGTAATCATAGTAATTTTTTCAGCAACTGTTTTACAAAATTGTACAAGTGTAAATCAGAGAATTTCTGAGCACTAAAAATAAATTAAATGTTGTAATATCCTTTTTGAAGGAGATGCTCTGGATAAACATCAAAATATCTGAAGCTTCAGGCAGACTCCATTTTTAAAATAAGCCACTGATTATATAAAAAAATCCCATGTTTTGCATACTGTACAATTATATTGTTAAAATCCAGACATGCATTTCAGTAGCATTATACCTTTTCAAGAAAACTTCTAAGTATTTTGGTCTTTGGATTTCTTGCACTTTAAGAACAACCTCCCTCAGTTCCATGTCAGGTGCCTGTAAAAAGAAGAAGTCAAAATTTCACTACTTACATTTGACAACTTAAGGATCTTTATTAGAAAAAAAAAGACCAGAATTGTTATACACAAATTACAACAGCCAAAATTTGAACAGAATTTTCGACAATGGATTGTTTGATTAAACAAAAATTACATTTTAAGATCTTGCACATGTTACAATAGATTTGATTTGTTGATTTGGTAACATGGCATATGGCCAGGACATGAATGTCTGACAGTAAAGCAAGGAGCAAAGAAATGCATCTGCACTCATATGAGCACACTTATCAATCACCCCTGTACACACACATGTGCACAGTCCATGTTGCTCCAAAAGTAAACACTTAAATTCCCCATTCTTTCAATGGCACTACACCTGTAATAATGAAATAAGCATGGTCATAAAATCCTTTCTGTCTTCTTCTGTGAAAATCCACTGCATAGCATCAACGGCATCAGCCAAGGAGTTCTCACTGTTGTCTTTAAATGTTCTGTATTCTCTAACAAGCACCAGCAGAACGATCTTGTAGGGAGTGACATACTCTTTCAGGGGTTTCTGCCCATTGAATCGACCAAGATTAGAGATGTCAGCCATGATCACTTGTCTGAAATAATTGTTAAATAGTTTTTAGTTTGACTGGGTGTCCACAAATGATGCTACATAAGACAGTATTGGATTACCCTAGGTTCTAGATTCCGGTATTGTCAGCTCGATCTTGATTTCATATATAACCCATATCAACAATACCAATTTCGTAAAAGCGACTCCACCACGAGGTATATTTAGCAAGCTAGCTTTTACGTTTCTCTGACACTCAGGGTATATTGGATTAGTATAGGATTCATTGTGACAATGTGGTGAAATTGTACAGCAGTCTAAGCATCTATGCTATTCTTGAACCTCATGTTGAAACAGAACATGGAGGCAGTGCAATTGCATCAATAAATGTGGTACAGAAGCAGGGATGACGGTGATCAATAAATTAAATGTAATTTTAATTATTTTCCGGTGCCAGTAATGAAACTTGTACCAGTAAGTTAGTAATTTACTAGTAGTTTGCACTCTCAGAATAAAACACAAACATATATTTCTCTAAATCTATCATATAAGCAGGTTCATCAGTTAACTTTGTGCCTGAAGGCATTATTCTGGAGAGGATACAGAAGATAAAAATCAAAATATTCACCTCCAAATATTTTCAGAGGCAAAATTCTTGACTTTTCAAGGAGCGCGCCATCTTCTAAAATAACGGACATGAAATACATCTATAAATCATACATAGAGAAATAATGCAGTTTTCGATACCTCTCTAAAATCAAATATTTGAAATAGTTAAATAAATTGACAAAACTATTTATTGATAAAGAAAATGTTAAATTATTTGCGATATTTTGTTTCTGCTGAATCAAACTTCCGCCGTGTCAGCAGGCCAACATGGCGGACAGCAGTCGAGAGGAAAAATTGGCTGCTGCTCGCAAGAAGGTAAATTATTTATGAGTAAAAAGAGAGAATTAGCCGGGTGCCATTTGGTTAGTTATCAAAGTAGCATGTGTACTTTATGTTGCTCTAATTTCATTTAATATTCTCTCCGACTTGAAACTCTGAAATATTTCTTGCGGCATAACGATACCCCTCCCAAATGTTTTGAGAACTTAGTTGTTTACGCCAAAACAGCTGGCTTCGTTTTATTTAAACACTAAATGATTATTCTACGCGAAATTTTTCTAGTAATATAGATGTTTGTTAAATCGTTACGTTTCTTTGAGCATGGCTTGTTAATGAACGTCTTCACGGAATTCAACCGGCGTAAGGCTGTGTATTCATGACGGTAATCTGATGCATGAGGCTAATAGAAATTTTATGCATGCTTGCTTCCATTGGTGTCTTTTCGCCAGAGTGGTGATTTATTACCAACAACTTCTTGAGATGCATTGTTTTGAGGTTTATTAAAGCTTTCAGATAACTGAATTGTTCACCTTTTAGGCTATATACAGTTAAGACGTACACTCTGGACGACAGTCTGAAGTTCTTAAATTTAACACGAAATAAAATTTTTTAATTGTGGGAATGAAATCACCTCTACATGGTGTAACTTGAACTGTAGGAAGGTAATTTTGATATTTCCAGTTTTTACGGTTCCAAGACAAGATTGGAGATCCACCAAGCTCTTAGCTTTTATTGAATTTGTACATTTTTAAAAAGTTAACTGTCTAGAATAAGTCAAGGAACTCAGCAATACATTTGAAGAGACTACCGATGTCATGAGCAATAATTAGGGCCTTTTTCTGTTTCTAGCTGAAGCAGTTTCAGAAGAAATCGGGGAAAACACCTGGCAATTCACCTGCCGGAGAGAAACCAAAAACCAAGAGACAGACCACTGTAGTGGAGAATAAGAAGTATGAGGAGGGCAAGAAAAGTAATGGGAATCATTCTTCTGAGGTAAGGAGGGAATTATGGACATCATGCAATTGATGTAAAATATTTTAAATTTATAACAAAAATAATTGAAAATTAATTGATTATCTTTTTTGCTTTAAACACACGAAAAAAAATTATGACCTTACTATAATATGATGCAAAGGACAATTTAATATATATATATATATACAAGAAAAATTTTCAAGACATAATTTTTAAGGAATAGGTGGGGTTGTTCTTAAGAATTATATTGAGTTTAAAGTATGTGTGCCTGAGTTGAGGAAGAAAAAAAAACATTTTTCAAAAGTAACAAGCTGTATTTTATTCAGTGACATAGTAATAAGAAGCACCAAGCTGTCAACTATTTTAAATTAACCAATGTTTGAAAGGAATCAAAAATAATTTCTAGCTTACCATTTTCAGCTATAAAAAATAGTGATACTAAAACATCTTCATATATCGAGGTACTTCTAATATATTTTAGGTCATTGCCAATTCCGAATCTCATAACCAATCTGTGGACCATGTGGAAGCTGTTCCCATGTCAGTGAATGCACGCAGCCTCAGGTAACCCCCTATAGAGCTGCTATAATGCCTTTTGTGCTTATATATTTATGTTAGATGTGCATAGAAATAAGATGATAATAATGATGACGATTTGATGATAATAATAATAATAATAATAATAATAATTGTAACAACAGTGCTTTATTTTGGGGGGGGGGGGGTTGATGTGCTTTTCTATAGATATTCACTAAAGCCTAATTTCATTGCAAAGGCAGTAAAAGAAGTGGAAAAAATGTCATATTTGTTCCTGAATCAGATTTGATGAGATTTTCCTTTTCATAGTCCTCCCCCATCCACAGACACCCCAGACCAATCTGTGTACAGCACACCACCTCTCAATGATTCCAACCACAGGTAAGACATTTCACACCTATGAACTGGTGAAAGGTTAGAAAATAAGTTCATTTGGATGCATTATGTATAATGTAGTCTTATGAGATTTGTTTTTTCCATCCAAAAGAAAACGAGGCAAAAGATGTTAAAATGCTTGTATGTGGTATTGAGAACTTCCTGCCAAATCTAATTTTCCACAATGAAAAAGAGCTATTATCTCTTTTCCTTAGATCATTTTCTCAACTCATACCTTCACTTGAGTTCGATGTTTTATACCATTTGTAAGTAAAGGGATAACAATATTTTGTATGAAATCCATATTACAATAAATATATTGTTCACAGCTTGTAGAAATATGTATATTAATGAATTCCATTTTTCCACCATAACGGTGGTTATCACAAGTATTCTGGAATCTGTGCTTGTCATCGGACCACATGGCCTCCATGAATGGGTACCCTCTGTAATATGCTCTTGAGAGATTATCAAAAAAAAAAAAAAAATTGGCACTAACTTTGAACGTAGAAACGGATTTATTAACCAATGATAAGTATGGGAAAATAGTTGATTACAACCAGGAAATTCTTTTTTTTTTTTTTTTTTTTTTTTTTTTTTGCCAAAATGAATAGTTTTTATCCCTTTCAATAATTCTGTTTTAAATGTTCAAATGTTTGACCAGTCATTAAGACATCCATTGGCTTCCTACTGCAAGAAGGAAAATTTGATATCAATACCGGGGATATGTTTAGGAAAAATGTTGTTTCTCTGGGACTTAAATGTAATATCAACATCAGGATATAAGTTTAGGAAAAAAAAAAAAAGCATCATTGCTGTTGGACTTCAATGCAGTACTCATCCATTTCAGACCCACTGCTTCTACAGAGAGTCTTCAACAACTCTCCAGACAGATAAATGGCCTTTTGTCACAGGTAATAATAGATTATATACATTCTATAATAAAGAATAGTTAATATTTTAACAGCTGTAATATATAATATTTTGTAATATTTCTATTTATTGATAGTAAATAGAGATACAAACATGATTGTCTTCATTTGTACTTTACAGTCTTTATTATAATACTTAGTCTATCATAATTTGTAATACTCTTCACTTTAAATATGCAGTAGTTATGTGGCACAAGCCTAGTTTATGGCAGTTACCATAATTATTTGATATACATATTACTTACACTCCTTGCGTGTATGGTTATAGTCATGAAGGTCATGGCATGTGCTTGTATTGCAAAGAAGTTGCATTAACAATGATAATGATTGTATTAATATTTTTTTCTGATTCAGTCTGATGCCTATGTGAATGGGACAATTGGTGACACAAATGATAACACTGTTGGCGAATTGGAGGTCAGTCTATGTGTTATATTAACTTTGTTCACTTTAAAATTTATAAAACTCTAAACTATAAAACAGCCCTTTTTTACTTTCAACAGTATAGATCTAGTACATGATTTTTCTGTATGAAAATATATTTATGTTGTTTTGTTTTTGTTTTTTTTTTTTTTACATCACCTTTACAAATTCATCATCCTCTTGGTTTTAAAAAGTTATTTTAATTTGAACAACTGGGGTTTACTATAAAGTTAGCCCAAAGAACAGTTTCATCCATAATTCTTGTAAGACCTGAGAACAGTCGGAAAGTTTTGCGTTTATAACTTGACACAATATATTGCTTTGAAAATCTGATCAGAACAAAAAATAAAAAAAAAAGACCAATAAAGGGAATTTGTTTTCTACCACAGTATCATGATTTTTCTCATCTTATCATAGGTTAACTTATGATGATGTTGATGATATTCAATGTTCTTATAATTAATTCGTTCATCAATGGTGAGGGGAGTCCAAATGCATGCTTTCAAGTTACAGCTGTCGTGGTATGGTGGTACCTTGGGTGTAATATCTTATACTCTACATTTGGTTCTTCTTCATATTCTCCTGTGATTTTGTCCTCAGCATGCTTACCCACACTGTCCAAATGGACAGAAAATCAATAGCTGAAATTAAATGCGAATAAAAGATCAAATAAAGTTGGGGGAAAGACTGAAAGATGAGATGTTACTCATGTTTGATGCCTGTGATGTATGATTCTCAGGGTTCAATGTGATTATGGAGCTATTTTTTTTTTTTAATAGAAATCAAAGACTTGTAATGTTATATTGATTTTTTTAAATGAAAACAAATTGCAGAGAATTATATTTTGCAAGAAATATACTTGCTGTGTTTTATCCCTTTTGATTAGTTGTTTTTACATTGGTTTCTGTTTTTATATATATTTTTTTTTATTATTTATTAGGTGATATCCGGTGCTTTTTGTCTTCCATCTTGCTTTTTGGGAAATTGAAATCATACCACTGTTGGTTTGGGATTCAAATTTTATCGCAGTCCTCTTTTATTTGGGGTTTAAAAGATAAATTATATTTTGGTCTCTTTATACAATTTGAATCTAGGCTAGAAATCGTGAACTCGCAGCATTATTAGAAAAACACAGCCAAAGTAACCGGCAGCTTGCAATGCATATACATGAGCTGGTAGGTATATCTGGTACCCATCTAGAATTTGCCACTTTTTTCTTTATTTATATATTTGTGTGTGTAATGATGTATTCATTTTTCTAATTTTGAATGCATTTTTTGTGCATCTTGTTATTTTTATTAATTTGGTTTCACAGTAAAGATATTTTTCATATTATTTTTTACTGATATTTTTGGACATCTTGCTTGAAAGTCAAAATCATTCCTACTTTTTTCCCCATATCTGCCCAAAATCTGGAATGTTTGACATTTGTGATGGATTTTTGCTTTGCCCATTCTGAGGTTTACATGTTAACCTTAAAAAATTTCCCCAAAATTCCAAATCATTTAAATTAGTCACTTCATTTTCTTCCACTCTGGTATAATTTGGTCTTAAAGTTTTAAAATATTTTATTTACTTTAAAGTGTTCTTCAGAAATTGAAGTTAGTATTTGTATATTGATTATTAGAAGTTTTCACATACATATGATATGATGCAAACATGGAGTTTTTCATGATAGAGTTGAAACTGCAAGAACTTTTTCCTAGTAATTAGGTTTAACATCTAGTAGTACTAAATATTAACTGCATGATATTCGGGTACTGATTATTAGACTGGACACTGCTAATGACTAATGCGATAACACAGAGTAACCACGTCATTAAGCATCTCATAATATATTATTTTGATATCTCTTTTCACTAACTTTTTCCTGTTGGTCTCTTTGAAGAATGGCGGTCAAGTTCTCATAATTTGCTGCTGCTAGTTGAGACACTGAAATTAAACAAATAATAAAAAACCACTTAATTTAGATATGTGAAATGCACCTTTGGCATTGAATGTTTTATCATCTCTGTAGGTAATAAACAAAAATTTCTTTCATATTTAGAACACTTTTTTTTTCACTGCTTGCCTGTGGCTTTTGCAGTTGACCTTTCCCCCTTTGTGTTTTCAGGATTTTTTTTGGCAGCCATACTAGACAGGGTGACAGCAAAAGGGCCCTTCTCATCCATCATATTTCATCTTGGCATAGCTAGACAAGCTTTATCAAACACATATCACTGAAATGGTTGTTTTGCATTAAAATAAGGATTATATTTATTTTAGATTATTTGTAAGATTATTATTATCACTGGCTATTTTATTTTGTCCTTTATAAATATATACATGTGTAAAGGCACTCGTGCCCTGTGTTGGCGTTATGTTTATTTAGGTCAAGCCCAAGGAGGGGGGGAGGGGTCACTGTGCTCTGTTTGATGCTCTGGAGCGCAAAGGTTCGAGTTTTTCTATAACAGCAGTTAAAATTTATTAAATGTTCCAGAAAAAACACAACACGTCACTGCAGCAACAAGTGCAGGAGGAGAGGGGAGGCTTTGAGGAACGACAGAGGAAAGAGCTGGGGGCTTTAAAAGAACAACTGCAGGTAAATTTGTTCATCACGGCTGCATAAAACATTCAAGTTGAATTATTAAGTTTGATTTGATTGCATTGAAATGTAAAATCGGGTTCAAAAACATCGATATAAGTCTACGTCTGTAAAGACACGATGATTACATCTAAATGGAAAAAAGCCAAGCATTTGTATCATTTCTTCTAGTTTAATGAAATAACTCATGGCAACTTCTTTTAGGTTCATATTCAAACCATAGGCATCCTGGTTGCTGAGAAGACAGAGCTACAGTCTAGTGTAAACCAGAGTCAACGCCTGGCTCAACAGAGGCTCAGTATGTCACACCTAAAACAATGTCACAATCACTGCAGTGTCACACCTAAAACAATGTCACAATCACTGCAGTGTCACACCTAAAGCAGTGTCACAATCACTGCAGTGTCACACTTAAAGCAATGTCACACCCAGTTGAATTTCATATCTAACACAATGGCACAACTCCCATATTGTTCACATTATAATGTCACCTATTGAGAGACGGTGTAAAGTTGGCACATTCTAATAGTTTGTCATGAAAACTTCTTAATCAAAGAACTGTGTAGCATATAAACTTAAGTGAATTTTAGATCCATGTCATTGTTGATAATAAAGTTAACATTAATTCTTTATCTCTCATGCTAAATATGTTGCATTCTCTGTAGCTGAGATAGAGGAGCTCTCTGGGCGTCTGAAGGCATCGAGACAGCGCGTGGCTGACCTTGAGCGGGACTTATCGTCAATCTCTACATCTAGTCAACAGTTTGAAAAGGTAGGCTGGCTTTGATATGTGAAGACCTGGACAGACATACTGTAAACTTTTAAATACAACTGGAAATTTGGAATGGCAGTTACAGAAAGTTTGCTGAATTGGAGAACTAAAAAAAATTTTGGGGGGAAGGAAGATTTTGCTTTAGTTACTGACTAAATTCAAAATGATGGCTCTTAAAATTGTTGCCCATCCTTTGGACTGGCTGAAAGCAATTTTCTACAAGTCTTTGAAAATTTAATTAGTCATGACTGACAGGATGGACAGTTTCAGCAAGTCTGACTAAACAATTTTTAACACGCTTATATTTAGATTGAATATTGTTACTTGTTATAATTATTTAAAAATATAATTCTCAATGGTTTT